CACTCTCGTCACTCTCGTCACTCTCGTCACTCTCGTCACCCCCGTCACTGTCTTCAGTCGCTTGACTCTTGTCACTCTCGTCTCTCGCTTCACCCTCCTCAACGGTATTAACGCTGTTTTCATCACTACCATCCAACGAACACTCATCGTCATATCTCACGCCTGTACCATTACCACTTGATACGAATAAGTCTTCTTTCATAGCGAGTTACTATTTCCACTTCCAAACCTAACTCGGATCTGTTCGTCGGCCTTACTTGGTTTTTGTATTACAGTCTTTTGGGGCCACCCCTGCCCGTTACGTTTCTATTTTCTATTTTTTCTAGTAGCTAAAAACACCCTTCGCGTCCAAATCTAAAGCTTCTTGAAATAACCTCCGCGGGCTTTGTTTATGGGGAGAGTTGATAGGAGAAGTCATCAACCATCGTACTTTGTAATAATGTAGTAGACGCCGCGTCATCACCCCATGAGTTGAACAACAGTAGAAAGAATCATAGGAGCAAATGCCAAAGGCAGAGGCAAGACAAGATGCATGATGAATTGGAATGAGTGTGGTCTGAAAATTGGGCACAAGGTCAAAAGTACGAAGATATTCTTCAGCCTCCCGGTCATAATATATGTCAATACTATTCCTTTCAGGCTAAGTCGAAGAACACTTATCTATAACCGTCAAAAGGAATCTCAGGGTCGTTTCACACAGCGATCACGCTGAGTATAGATTGACATGTAACCTGAATCAAGAGACATGCCGTCCTAAGCTATATGTGTCAAGTTATATTTGATAGTATTGGATACTTAGAATTTCCTCTCCCATGATAGGCCCTCAACCCAAGAGCCATTTCCACACGGAATGTCTATGCATTGGATATTTGCTACATGTACCAAACATGCTTTGAAAACAGCATCGAAGCGTCGGCGCAAAAGTAGCTGAACTTCTGACACACATTGTAGAATGCTAATGCATTCTAGAATTGGTGATGTGACAAGCACTTGGTAGGTATGTATGGTGCGAAGCTCAAGAGCTGTTTTCGCGCGAACTCCACAGCGAAAAACCAAGCCTCAAATCTTCTCAGGCAGGACCATGCTAGATTAGAAAGTCCCCATAACTAGCTGAACAAAGAGAGCCTGATGTCGAAAAG